CGGCGAATTAATATTCGGGATATGATTGACGGTAAGGAATAACGCCCCGCGCGCGCGTTCTAAAAGCGGTGCACATCATATGAAAAAAAGCCGTTGACCTCGTGTGTCAATCGCGAATTCCCGCCCGCCGCGAGCGGACCTGTAGCGTCGCATTTCGCGCTGCCACCGCGCAAAATAATGCATAACTATCGAGCGGCGCCTCCATTGAGGAGTAATTTTCTAAATATTATTGCGAAAATGAAGAGATCTATGAAACCCGAATACGCTACTTGTTTGCGCAATTTCCACGTGTCGTCCCGTGCTTCTCTGTCCTTCTCCGTTTACGCCGAAAATCCATCATAGAAGTTAAATTGCAAACTACAGGCTATCGTGAAATCTTGCGGAATAATTTTATTAAAAAAAAATATCATAAGTAATTTTCTTTTAGTTATATGTCGCGCAGGATTATCCTCAGGCTTGATCACACTCGTTGCCGAATAAAAATTATTCGATTTAAGACGTGTTAAAATGGCATTTTAACACGTGATTTTTCGCACTTGTGAAAAATAATCGTTGCACGCAACAGCCGCACGACTATTTCGATGCGATGGGGGTTAGTCGCGCTTAGCGACACCCTCCGCAACCGGGTAACGCGGATGCACGAGAGTACGTGAGTTACCTTTTTTTTTATTCGAAAATGATAAAACTCGGTCTAATGTAAAATTCATTATATCCATTACGGCTAATTAAGCGGAAGCGAACACTCACCAAAAACCCGTGCATTTTTCAACGATAAAGTCGGCGGCTCTTAATTATTTTATTTCGGGCAAACGCGCACCGTAATTCGGTATATTCTATATACATACGTCAAATGTGTCGCAATGCCATATGGGAAACTGCGTATATCCGATACCTATCTTAGGCAATACGTATCATCGCGCTAACGAGTTCGCAACGCAACAATAATCGCATTAAGACGTTAATTAAATGTTACACATAATTTCAAATAGCTGCATAATGCCACTTCGAAGTAATTGTTGTTTGTACAGCAGTTCTCACGATGCGTTACTGTGCAATTTAATAGTTGTTCATTAACGGGAATTAGAGATGGAGCAGCAATTACGCCTCTCTTCGAGCGATAATAAATTACAAATCGATGAACCGTAATATTTCATTACGCTATTCCAAGTATTTTGTTGCTAATCAGGGATGCTTCCCATTGTTCCGCCGCATTGTGCTCGATCGGAAAAATGGTGACTGATTAATCTCTCCATGTGACTGTTCATCCTGGCCGGCAGTGTGCGTGCCGATCGCACACGATTCGAAATATGTCTATTGATTGAATTTTGAGTGCAACAAGAGTTATAACTACAAATAGTTTTCTTTTCGCTTGGAAATTAATCTCAACGCATCCATGTGCCGAATACACGTAACACTGAGAATTATGCTTTAACTTTTTCATACATAATTATAAAGCAAATGCCGATCCATCTAACGTGTAATTTTTATATTTTAAAATGTAACAGATATTTCTATCTATCAGATAATATACGGTGAATACACATAGACTCGGAAGATAATTCGATAAAATTTGTGAAAAGAGTTAAACGTTTGTAAAGTTGATGATTGAATAAGTATCTATTCGATGAAACAATTTTTGCTTATCTAACTATCGTACAACTATCGCAGTTATCAGAGAGACAGGCAGGAAATGCGTTGCCACGCTATTATGTGTAACGCATTTGTAACGAGCAATTTTCTACCCATTAATGCAACGATTATACAACAGAGCTATTACGCTTACTGTATCAATGATGCGAAGTGTCATAACTTATGCCGCATACGATGTAACGTAAAATCTAAAATCAAACTGAATTATTCCCTTAATTGTTAATTCAATTTCTTGCAAAAAAAAAAATATGCGAGACACTCGTTACGAGACGAATCGGTGTTAATCGACGTCTTGCATCTTGAAGAATGGTCAATTAAAATTTTATAATTCTCAAACGATAATCGTAATTTAACGCACGTGCATATATCTGCTTTTTTTATATCTCCAAACGTCATTAGACGGATAATAAATGAGAATCGCATCCGCATCCTTTTGGTATTCCCGAACGAAAAATGGGGGAGGGGGGTGGTACGTTCGCACACGAGGCGCATCGACGTCCTTTCCATTCAAGTTCATTACCGCAGATGATCGGCGTGTAACCGGCCGGTAGCGGATGTAATTGAAGGGAAAGGAAAATAAAAAGGGATTACTCGACCGTCCTTAAAATACGCGATGGATCCGCCATGGCAAGTCAAGAAACCTTTGATAGCGACGCTCGATAGTATAGCGATGCTGAGCGCCGGCGCCTTTCCCTCGCAGCCCCATTGGTGCCGAAGGCCCTCTCCACACGAGTGCCCGCCGCCGGGTTTCCTTGGAAACGCTTCGTTCACGCTGATGTCTACCCTCGCCCACAGAAAACCTCTTTCAATTAGGCAGCCTGCCGCCCGACAGACCCACGAATCCCAGTTCGTTTTCTCTCCCTGTTCCCTTTTCCTCCTTTTTTCCCCCCTTTTCTTCCTTTTTTTCCCGCTTTATTTTCCCTCGCTTGACATTTCCCGTCGAAACGAACACGCACTACGTAGTCCGAGACGAAGAAGTCACCGAGTCCCTCAGGTGACTTTGAAACCACTAATTCGTTAAACAACCGGGAAGCGTGCGCCGAGGTCAATGTGTCGCGCGATATTCCGACGTGATGAAAATCAAGAGTCAAGGCAGATGTTGCGATAGCGCGGTACCTTACAAAGGTACATACTATCGATTAAGTATTTATACGCGACATCGAAAAGATAATTTTGAAATGAGGCTAGCGTGTGCGAAGAAATAAATGATAAGCGATAAAATTAAATCTCAAATATTTCTAAAAACTTTTTTTTTATTATGCGCGCGACTGAAGTTATCTTGGTGATGAAATATTCTTAATATCCGCCGATATCTGTCCAGACAACTGGTCTGTGTGTGCAAATAGATATTTTATTATATAGCAAACAAATATCGAAGTATAGGTGTCATATCTGACGACTCGCATGTATGAATTTATATACGCGCACGAAAGGGATGGAAACGTAGCTGCTTGATATGCGGCACAACGCCCGGCTTGACTGACGCCTCCAAGTTGCGAATAAAATTTTCATGAATTTCTATTAACTCCGTTTTTCTAGACGTGCCCCGGAGACTTAAAAAAAAGTTCGGTTAGCTGATAGTCCGCGGGGAGGCTACGATCACCCTCTCGCGATAGTCAGATTTGATCGAAGTAACAAACTTTTAACTGGCTTATTTGCTTTTGAATTAATCTGATGCATATAAAAATATTGTCAAGAAATTAAAAAAATAATTTATAACTTTATATTTTTAATTAAACTAATATTCAAGAAAATTATCCTGGTTTTAAAATTAGTTTTGATATAGTACAAAGTAATCTTCTTCCGTTTCTTTAATCAAGCTCATATATATATATACATATAATATCGATATTAATTGCAAGGATCATAATAAATCAAAATCTTAAATTCGAATTTATAATATTTTCTAATATAATCTTTATTACTTTTAAAGTATATTCATTGTATGCAGTTATATATGCTTATATGTTATCATTGCATTTTGTATTGTTTACCACTAAATTGAATTAATTTCTCTCTTAATTTTTTTATGAAATACATGTTAATAATGTGCAAGTAATCACCTAGCAATCAAGTGAAGAAGGTCAATAAACTCTTAGATGAGTAGGAAAGAAGAAATCAAGCCTCTCACAGATTTCCGTCAGTTCTGTATTTAGACAAACTGCGGAAATCATGAATGTATTCTTACTGTCAAAAACACATTACGCTCATTAAATTATAATGCGGAAGATGCTTCGATTTACCTTGTCTTTTTTAATTTGATCTGACATTTATTGTTGATATATCTATTTTTAATATTTGCTATTTTAATTTAATGTGTGCTATTTTTAATTTCTTACATCTTTCTGTATTAATATGATATAATTAATTCTTCCTTAAACCACTCCTCCAAATATTAGACTTTTTTTTTTTAAATAAGACTCTTTTTCTTCAGTAAAAATCTGAGCTATAATTATCCGAATTAATAATTAATTTCAATAGACTATATATCTTTACATCGAAAAAACTTTGAAAGACAAGGAGCAGCTTCTGTGGGAACTATGGTTGAGATTTCTGGATCTTTGTTCCGGAATTCCTGATGCCTAAGACAGGACCTGCGAGCTTCCGCAAAGTTTCGCGGTCGCTTCGCCACAATCAAGTGGAACCCACCAAAATTCGGAACCCTGCAGGGCGAGGGCTTAGCTACTGTTCCAAGTTTCACTTTAATCCAAAAAGCCACGGTAGGCCGGCACAATTGATTCCGCCGGAGTTCCGGTACTGTCTGGGTATACATTTCTGAGGATAACCACGAGGTCACCATACGACAATTTATACTACCTTGTAACACCCTAACATCAAGTATTCTACATTTGCGTCATTAAACTTTCACACCCTTTCGAAAACTATTTTTTTATATTTATAAACTTTCATAAAAATATACATTTTTACAATCCTATGTCGTGACCCGGCGTATTATTATTTTACTTATTCTTTGTGTCAAAAATTGGCTTATAATAATATTTAAAATAATAATATATCACCATAATTAAAATACTTATGCAAATAAATCGTTTATTGCAAAAAGCGCGTATGCTACAAAAAGTAAAATCTGATTATTTGGGAAAACTCTTTATAATTAAGTTTTCTAATCCCGCATCATATAAAAATTGCATATTTTCTATCCACAATGGTCGATTTAAGTAAAGATTTACATACAGTGCCGAGTTACAACTATTTCAACGTGCATAACATTGAAGCTTGCGTGTAATTCTGGCATGGATGAATACGAAGTCACGCGAGGGATTCTTCAGCGCACGTTGAAATTAACCATTTCGTGTCAGCGATAGTATATACATTTAGACCACACCTACCTGAACGCGACTTTCCGTGAGGCCGATCCTTAGTGCTATTTCCTCCCTCAGGAAAATGTCCGGGTAGTGAGTTTTGCCGAAACACCTTTCCAGCTCGTTGAGTTGGGCCGGTGTAAAGCGCGTCCGATGTCGTTTTTGCTTCGCAGGTTTGTCATCGCCTTGCCCGATCGCAGCTGCGCTACCTAAAAGTACGGAATAATAGATAAATAACATAAACGGTTAAATGGTGATAGTTAAATAGTTCTTTTCGATATTGATTATTTTTAATTCTAAAGCGAATCGCTAATCGGAAAGACAATTATAAACCAAGTCTTTTCTTTATTTTAAGAAATAGGAAATAAAATATACGATTCAGTTATTTATTATTGTGTTAAAATTAACCAACATTTTCTTCGAAAAATTATTTCCATGGAATAATGTTGGAAAATTAATTAGAGCACTCACAAAATTGGATTAAATTCTTATATTTAATAGATTCTAATTTATATCAAGATATTTATTGCAAGCAAACAATTATTAATTTTATTAACATATATAATTATTAATAAAAAAAAATATTTTTATAATATTGATATCAATTTCTGTAATACACATAACATATGTTGTACGTCAATCAACAGCTAAATTGAACGATTCGTTGCACATTTAATGTGCGTGTGATATCTTTACTTCTAAGTTTTATTTGCGTAATATTGATGTGGCCATTATAACATGAAATTCAGAGTAATAACTTCAAAAATCGATGTCTTAAAGATTTAATTTTTATCATTAATATGTTTTATTTATGTTCGTTTGATTGTACTTTGATTTAAATAAGAATTATTAATATGGTTCGATTTAATTTAAATTAAAATTATGATACAAGAGCTTTTTGCACACAAATTATAAAATATAAATTGACAATTCGTAATATTCGCGTTATATCTTTTTCATACATTTAAATATGTATTAAAATTCTTCTCCTAAATAATGTAAGAATATGCTATCGCACTATAGACTCAACAAAATGATTTTGCCTTCTAACTCATGACGAAAACATCGCGCAATCCATTCTGAGAATATGTCTCATATGTTCACGTAGCGTTCGTCGGAAATCGATGCGATTCACCTTTCCATTTACCATCATCATCCACTTTATTTAATGAACAAATAAAATTTTTTATTTATTCCATCAGTCATCATTACGCAATACTATCTTAAAACTATCGTAAATAGAAAAAGATATAAAATAAGCTGATCGAGCTTCTCAATGGTAATTTTCTTTTTATTCTTTTTGGCAACAATATATTTAAGTAAATATATCGCTAAAATTGGCAAATGGGGAGTTAAATTCGCGCGGTGCGAGCACATCTCTTCTCCTGAATAATTCTCGACTGACGAAATTGAATGCTTCGCGATGAATGCGATAGCCAGATGAGCTTACATACCTGTGCCGGGCATCGTCATGATCAATTCCTGATGAAGCGTGAGGCCACCACCCGCGGACAGACCGGAGCCCAGATTCACTCCCAGGACGCTGTGCTCCTTCTCGTACCGCTTCAGATCTTGCGCATCTTTCGCTCCTATATGCGCGTAGCCGCGAGGTGAATAAGGGGCAGAGAAAAAAGAAGACGCGCCGCTTCAGTTTTCTCCCGTCTTTTTCGTTTCGCCAGGCTTCCTCGTGCTCCGCACATGCCTCGCGCTCGCCCGCCCCACGCGCCCGCTCTACGTAGTTTAAATTTGTATAGGAGCAGAAGCTGGCCGAAGGGTGTACGGACCACTTAGCGAGGAGGTGCGAGAATCGTCAACCGTACTCTGGACTTCTAGGTGCGCAAACACACGTCCCGAGCACTCCACGCACTCGTCCGAGCAAGTACACGCATACGCGCGCGTACGCGCGCGTTTACGTGTACACCTTGTGCCTGTCTGATACGTGCAAGTGTACGTGCAAGTGCGCACCGTGCATACGTTAATGTAGCGCATACGTGAACGTATCGTTGTATCGTGGAGGGTGTCCATCTCAGATCAGTACGCCCACACAGACCGCGTGTCAGATCGCGAGTATCGCGCGTCGTCGTTGTGCATTGTCAAAGATGCTTACGTAATGAGGTAAACTAGTTTAGTCAGGTATGACCGCGACGTAAAAGCAGTCTTCTGCGTCACCAAGGAGGAGAAGAGCGCTTGTTAAAAATTTCCATCCGCAGAACAATAAGGCGATGGAATAAGTGCGGTGGGACCGCGCGAGAAGTGGGAAAAATTTTCGAAACGATGGAATAACCCTACGAAATAGTTGTTTTAAATTGGGACATTTACGTAAGCGTGATTTGAATTTTGTATAAAATTAGGCGTTTTATACAAACCCTCCTGGTTGTGGAAATACGTTCTGAAATAATCTTGTTTTTCACAGAGTATTATTTTTCAGTTTAGATATTAAGGCTTTTAAATATTATGAGTAGGGCATTATTTTCAATTTTTTCATAAAAAAATTTTCCTTAAATATTCTCTTCTGTTCTTTATCAAAATTGATTATTTAATAAATTTATTTAAATGCGCATTTTTAATAAATGCAGAATATATAGAATATTCTATTAGTTATTTCATAAGTATAAAGTTATATAGAAATATCAAGAGAAAAATACCGATATTAAGTTATCAGACCACTGTGTAGTAAAACTTGACTGAATGAATACCTCCATATGAATGAACTTTACGACAGGTTTCCTTATTTGTGTTTTAATTTTATAAGACGTAAACGATTTTATTTAGACTTGATCCCGGTAGTCCCGATATTTATGGCTCTCTTTATTTGGTGAGAATTTGGATTCTCACATAAATTCTTTTCATCTTTTCGTTCTTTTCATAGTGATTTTTCGTATATAATAATGATAAACTCTGTTGTCATACAAACATTACATATAATCACAATGCCACGTGCGAATTACGTAATACATTAAACCTTGTAATATAAAAAAAATTTATTTACTTTTGACAAAGAATATGGTGTCGTAATCAGAATAATAAAAGAAATTGAATATCAAAAATTAATGAAGAATCAATCTATTAAAAAAATTTCCTGCATATTTGTTCATGTCGATGTCCGCGAATTAATCAAATCAGATTGTACAGATTTCTTTCTCGAAAAATATTCTGTTTTTCTATAATTTTCTCAATTTTTTGAACAATTTCTATGTTCACTAGTGAATCTATCGGCGACGGTCAATTCATCCATTCATCTGTATCGATTACAATCGTTTGTTGTCTATTTAGCTTGTACGACAAAACAATTACAACGAAACGTCTTAAATATATAATAAGAGAATTACAAGAAATATTGTGTGTCAAATTTTAAAACTCGTTACAATTATGTTTATATTTTTGCGCTAACAAATCCGCGTGTATTACGTATCGTGTTTCTGTGTACGAGTGCATGCTATCAAAGTATCAGAGTCGGCGTGCGTTTCTTCTAGAAAACGAATATCTAAGTAGCAAAAAAAATTCGCATTTGTGCGCACAGAGTCATAGCGATGCAGTCGCCATACACTAATGTTTACTTTGCGTAATTACACTTGCATTACTTCGACATATTTTCTCTCTGGTTAAAGATTGGGGATGATTATTTAATCCCGCTTTAATTGGCCGGATTATCGAAGATCATAATCAAATTAAAACGCTAATCGCTAAAGGATCGCATGCGACGCGGCTAGGCATTCGTTCTACACGTGTATTTTTCTCGCTCGTGGAGTATCACGGTAATTCAGGATGCGTGAAGCGGCTGTAGAAAAAAAGAGGATTTTTATAACGTTCGCGCGTGCGTTTATCGACATTTGAAAACTTCGTGATTGACAGCCGCCCACGCTTGAAACGTCTGAATAATAAAGTCATAAATCACATTACTATCCGGAAATGTCGTGACAGACGTATTTATTCGCGTGTCACGTTCGCGAGCTGTGCCCGCCTTGTCTCAACGGATGGCCGATGCACCAAATGCAATTAACGTATATCATAAAAAATTTTAACGGACACACTTTAAGTATGGCGAGAAGCGCGTTGGCGCGTTGGCGCGTTTCCGAGGGTCAAATCTCATATTTGATAAATTGAAGGAAGATAATTGAAGACGCGTATCGATGCAGTCACGAATCGGTCGGCCGTTAGTAAGCATAAGTTGGATCTTATTTGACGAAAGATAGATAAGTGTAATTTATGAAAGGCAAGCGCGACGTCGCGTCCGATCGGCGTGATTTTCCGCGTTCACGTAAACTCAGGTATAATCACTTCGGACGTTATTACGACAATTGCGCGTAAACGTTTAAATAAAATAAAAATTTTAATGAAAATTAATAGTTAAAAAAGACTTTGTCACCGGTAAACATTGATGTTTCATTTATTTAATAATTACAATAATATTATTCCGGAAATTGAACGAAAAACAAATATACAAATCGTATGACGACAGACCAAGTGTAACGAAAAAAAAAATCAACGTTTAACGCTTAACGTGAAAAAAATGGAGCTATAACTTTCTTTTAATCTGGTTAACATGTAGCGCTTTACTCAGTTCTCACCACCTGCAACATTCTAACTCTCTAAACCGTTCCTCAACTTCTCGCGTAATGTAATCAGTGTTGAGGTAATTAAGATCATCAAACTCGAGAAGCAGCTTTCTTGAGATGGAGAAGATCGAAGACATGCAACGTCACGTGTTACCGGCACATCTCTATTCTTTTGTGCGATTTTCTATTCTAATTTTGTTTTCTTATGATTTTTCCAATTCTAGAAAATAAACTTACTTCGAAAGAAAAATGTTTCTAAATGTTTAAAAAAATGTCATAAACATAATTTAACGAAAAATTTGTTGTCTTATTATAAAAAACATTGTACTATCAAAAATTACATATACAAGATAAAAGTCAAATAATTTTGTTAATACACAAATAGAAATTATTCTTTAATATTTATAATATATCATTTAAATTATAATCTTTCATATAAATATTGATCAAAAATAGAAATGTTTTATATAAAAAAAATAAATTTAAAAAACATAAGAAATACTACGCATACTGATTTTATAAATATCTACTCCAGTTCAATAAATATTTCATAGTAAATTACATGGTATTAATTGCAATCCACAGTTTTGGTAGGATTATTCATAGTGGATTAGTCAGGCAAAACACAAACCGACGTCAGCCGACGGACGATGAAAGACAAATTGATTGAAAAGAATCCCAATTAATTCGGATTTTATTCTTTTTGTAAACACGTAAAATCATGCAGCTGATATGATTAAAAAATCAGTTCATTAAAATAGATATATACAGTGAATAAGTAAAAAATTATGAATAAGCAAAAAAGCATTATATTCAATAATGTAAAATTTAATTGTCAAATTTTAATAACAATTATTCAACGGTTGATTTATTTGTTTTATTAATTTTCTATACTTTATATAGAAAGTATTTCTTATCTTATTTTTGACTCGCTATCGAGATCGACATTTAACCGGCACTTTTTATATTTTATTCGACGCAATTATCTTAATAATATGCGGAGACTTTTAATAAAATTTATCGTGAGGCACGAAATTAACTTTAATGAAATTATAATGTAATCTATGTAAAAGATTTTAGAATTATATATAACTAATATATGATAAAATTACATCTATTTAAATAGAGATTATTTAGCGCAATATTCCTTTCTGATAGATTTTATTTTATCTTAAATATTCTTTATTCATACACTAATAATTAAATTGAAAATAACTCGCAGTACTCGTAATAATGTCTGATTAATTAACAATGTTATTATCACTGTAATTTTTAATTGTAACAAACCAACATGATAATACGTGGACAAGAAACTGACACACTTAAACTTAAAATAAACTAGCTCACTATAAAAGTTATGAAGAAACACACTTCTTATGGGACACCTGATGCTACAATGGTACTTGAAATCTACAACCATGTTTGAATCTAAAATTGAAAGTACGCTATTATTATATCATTATCTTACTGCCACTGTTCTCTTTCTTTTATATTTTACTTCATCTATGAAAGCAAGATTCACAAAAAGAATGTTTAATTTTATTTTTCTATTTTTCACAACGTCGATTCAAAGATAAAATGCGCTAATAATATATGTCATAAAAAAATAAGTGTTACGAATGAATTTTAGTATTATTAATTAATAATATCAATTAGTCTCACATATAACTTTTATTATAACCCGAAAAATGTTTGTTGATACCGCTGTCAACATAAGTATGAAACCAGCTGCCGCTATTAAGATTGATGGATCTTGCGACTGACACTTATCTTGAAAGTTTGTAACTGATCTAATCGGATTGCCCAACACTCCACAATGTTCACATTGGTTAAAAATTTGTTTTTCTCAATATATATAAAACACTGGTATAAATCGGAAGCGACGCATAATACCGTCGGTAAGACGTATCGTTAGCTTCCGAAGAAGTCTGCTCGTAATACATTTGATGTTTACGAATAAAATACATCTCCTATACTTAACTGGTGAGACAACGATCCTTCACTCATCGAATGCCGCGTGGTCCTCATAATCACTACTGACATATTAAATTTAAGGCCGATCCAAGATATACATGTTCGGATTATTCGGAGAGGATTTAAGCCAGAAAACACCGATTGAAAGATGAGACAAAAGAGAAGCAATACCGCGAATTTCGGCCAGCTTCGGTATATTTCTAAAGAAATTCAGATTTGGCCTCTAATGCACAGCAAATTACTTTAATCGATGTTCGGCGGATGGGCATTGGTAATATTATTTGTACTGTCAAAATCGCTAATTGCGAACACACAATTCTTCGACGCACACTAACCGGATGGGATTTCTGATTCAGTGTATACGGTACTTACCGGAGATACCGTGTACGGAACCGCCGGCGGTGATATTGTTGAGCATGCCGCTCAACCCCGGGAGCGTAGCTCCGATACAGCACGCGGAAGCGGAAATCCGCGCGACACCGCGAGCACCTCACCCTCAAATCTCGAGGAACCACGGACGAGAAAAAAAAACTGTGTGACTAGCGGCGCGGCGCACGGGGTCTTCCTGGATGAGTATTTGGATGAGTACAGGCGAACCTGAGGACCGGCCCGCGCCTCAGGAAGGCAAACAGCAAACTGGCCGACTGCCATATCCGAACACCCCCACTCACGCTGATTTGGCGGGAATATCGGTGTCTCGTTCCCGTCAAAGTGTGCACCACCGATCTCTCGCTTCTGCTACCGGCCGGCAGGAGTCCCTACTACCTCACGTTCTCCGCTGGTGGGCGTGATATTAAATCGCTCCTATCCTTCAGATCCAACACCAGGATCCAGGAAGGTAGCTAGCTGCGACAGTGCCTTTCTTCGAAACCTTGCCTTTGCCAAACAAAATTTTATTTATTTAGTTATTTTTTGAGAAAAAGCAAAATTATAATTGTCTATCAAATCAATTGTCCCAAAAATTGAGAATATGTATTTTACTTTTTATCGATATATTAAAATAATGATTATAATAATTCAAAATAAATTGCAAATCTTAATATTCAGTCCTTTCAAGGCCACTACATTTATATTGCTTCTTTTATCCAAAGTTTGAAAATTTTTAGAAAATATATTTAATTAGATTAAAAATTGCTTTAATTATATAGGCGATAGTAAGTGCAACAGTAAATGTAACCACGCGGTGTCACTAATCGGTAGGTGAGTGCGCTTTCGAACAGGGTAGGGATAATAGGATAAACCGCAACGTTGTCTCGTAAGAATCAGAATAAAAAAAGAATGGCTTGGCCAGTGAAGATAGACGCGGAAAGGGATGAAGAATCTCAGATCCGGATCGTCGTCGTCGTCGTCGGATTTTCAGTCGACGAGACGGTACCTCCGGGCCGCAATGGTTGGTAGCCATGCGAGAGCTGCCCATATCCCGAGGTAAACTCTATCCAGGTTACCGTCTCTTTCACCGTCTCCGCTTTGTGGTAGGCGGTAACCGCCGCGAACGCAGCTCCAATGAGAGGGTAGCCCGCCCTCTGGATGCCCCACTAGTTTTCGCGCGGCGGAGATTTATTGAAATTTTATTTTTATGGCCGGCAAGAGCGCGCGCGGGTGAGCGCGCTCCGCTCGGCGATGTGCGGGAGAGAGGAGAGATGCGAGCGGACGACCGACCGAAGGAGACGAGAGAGAGAGCCCTCTTCTTCTCATTTCCTCCTCCTTTCTTCTCCCTTTCCCGTACCCGAACGTTTCACTCTATCTCCGTCCTCGTCCTCCTGCCGCACTTCACATCGGGCTGTTTCACATTCTCTCTCGCTACGCTTTTCCACCCTCGCTCGCTCGCTCGCTCGCTCGCTCCCTCGCTGGAATCTCTCCTGGTCGCGATCCCGCTTTCTCGTTGCGGCCCACCTTATTCGTTCTACGTCCTTTTAATTCAATAGCTACCCCTTTTTATAACGCGGCAGCCCCGTGCAGCACGAACGGAAGTCACGATGGCTCCTAACGCTTTGCCAACGCACGATCTTGCGATCGTACATGAACGGCATTCCATCCTATTTACGACTAGATCACAAGAGATGCGTGTAACACGGTAGTTTTGTAATTACGCCGGATGATGTTCATAGTTTATTAAAATCTCAGATTTGCCTAAAGAGATCGCGTTTGCTTTTCAGTTTATACGTATATGAAAAGCAGACGAAAATTTAATTACATTTATAATATTATTGCTGATTATTTATTAACAATTAACTGCAAAAATCGCGCTGCTTAATTCGCTTGGATCTAACATCACCGGAATCATCAGCATATTTTGATAGCGCATATGTCTAATTATAATATCATATTTAAATTATTTAAATTTTAATTAATTATTTTAAAGATCAAAATTTATATGTGATAAATATATATATTAATATTTTGATGTATGCTTTAAATTTCATTATTTTTATCTCTTTAAAGTATTAATTTTATAATTAATTGAACTATCTTATAATATGGATTATATCATTAATATTTTTTGTGATTCTATTAAAGTAACTAACATTCATAGATGATTACGGATTCTATTTTTAATTAAATAACTTACTAATATTACAAATTAATATATAGAATATTTCATTTTCATTAAATTAAAAAATTTAATGACAAATTTTTTCATGATTTTGAAGTCGCATTCACATTGTAATACTAATCATCGTGTACATTAGTAATTTATAACACCAATAAAGAGAAGTTAATATCAATCAATTAATATAATCAATATTAAATCGATTGTATTGTAATCCGTTATTGTAATGTAATAATTGTTACACTTCACAATCTAAAAAAATCTCGAGTGAAGCGGTTTTCATTTTCTTGCATTATTGCAACAAGCGTATATTAAAAATACAAATTAAAATTAATATAAATAATTAAAATAATTTTTATAATAAATAATAAAAATGTTTACTTTTATAATTTATCAAGTTTATATTATTTTGTTATTATTATGTTGTTATATATATATTATAAAAACAATCTCTACAATCCGTTAAGGAATAAAAGAAAATTTTAAAATATCACTCATAAACTATGTAAGTTAATATTTAATTTCTTCTTTTTATGATTTTAAAATAGTATGATAATACATTCATAACTTATTTTTTTAGTCTTTTCCATTTCTGATGATTATTAACTTAATAAAATAATATCAAAGTTATTAATGAGAGATATGTTTTTAATCTGATTATATCAGGATATTTATATATATATATA